GGCAAAGCTGCCACTTAAACCTATATATATTTTTTAACTCCAAAGTTTGTGCACTTAACATGTATATTAAGTGTGTCCTCGAGATTTCCGTATCCCTCACCATCCTGATTGTTATTCTCTGGACAAATTCCACTTTTTACAAAAAAAAAGTATTCCTTTTAAAAGATGGCTTCCTAAATGAATACAGCCCTTTAGGTATGAAGACAAGGAAGTAATCGAAGATTGCAAACATTGGCCAACAGATGTGTTTGACTTGCCCATCCATTGTTTTTAATAAAACGCAAAACAAAACAAAACAAGGTGACGGAGAAGGAAAGGGAGAATTTGAACGCCTATATAACCTCCAGTCCACCCCTTTTTTCTTTCCCCTGGCCTATTCCATTCATTTTGTTACCTGTCTGGCCCCTAAAGACATTTGAGTTTGCAATCCCTACTTGTTTATGACATGGCACATTCTTGCCATCCATCTTGGGTTTGATAGTTACAGTTGTAATTCTTCTCAAGCAACTCAATAGGTCTATAGTTCATGGTAACTCCTAACCCTTCTGTGGAATGAATATGAATTGTCTGCCCTCTAAAACTACTGTTTGGCATGAAGAAATTTAGCTAATGAGGGCACCTAGCTAACCACCTAGCTTCTACAGCTAACACGGCCTTTCTGTTCTCTACTTGTCTTCACATTTTAAATTTTATTCAGGCAACTATATGCTATAAGCTATAAGGTTGTTCATGTTCGGTAGAATTCATGAAGATTGTAGGATTTAAACTTTAAGAGTTTCAATTTTTTTCTGTATCTACATGGCTGACAAGTGATTCCCATGATGCGTACCTGCTAAAAAAATTTTCAAGGATGTCTGGTCACTCCTTTTATGTTTAAATTGAATGAAGCACTGACTTTTCCATAATCACTAGGCAAGTGGTTGAACATTCTGTGGGCAAGTTATGCTTTTTTAGTGTTGTTGTTGTTTCCAGAGGCCAGAAATGCCTGGGTGACATGGGATTTCATTCAGGTATTCCTAATGCCTGTCTGTAGAAGTGATTAGTTAAATACACAGTGCTGTGTTTTGTTCAAGGTGATGTGACTAGACATGAATCTTGCCCTTGAGTTCTAGGTCCATCTAGCCAGTGTAAAAAATACTATCCCTATTTTACAAATGAGAAACCTAAGGAGATTTTCCTAGGCTCCTCATGATCATGTCTTCATTAAAGGATTTTCTAATAGTCAAAGGTGTGCCAAAATGGAATGCGTCAATTTGTTAAGTAATGAGCTCCCTGTCATCACAGATATTTAATCATAGTTTGGATGGGCACAGAGAATGAATTGTACTCATTGGCATATAAGGTCACTTCCAGCCGTGAAATTCTCTTTCGATATAAAGTCAATAATTTCATGGGCCGGCCCCGTGGCTTAGCGGTTAAGTGCGTGCGCTCTGATGCTGGCGGCCCGGGTTCGGATCCCGGGCGCGCACAGACCCAGCGCTTCTCCCGCCATGCTGAGGCCAAGTCCCACATACAGCAACTAGAAGGATGTGCAACTATGACATACAACTATCTACTGGGGCTTTGGGGGAAAAAAATAAATAAATAAAATTAAAAAAAAAAATAAAGTCAATAATTTCAAGCAATATTTTAGGTTACTTATTCTTCCCACAAATTAGCCAGATGATTGGTTGAGTTCTCTGTTTCTCTTTGGTTATAAAAAGCTTTGCATAGTGGAAAGCAGAATTCAGGCTTTCTTGCTAATAAATCAGATGCCCTACTGTCTAAATGCTATTCTTCTACACACATACTTTGAAAATGCCATCATAGCTGACTATACTTAGCTGAACATATCTATAAAGTTATAGACATGTAACTAAGGTGAATGTAATTCCTAACTGGACAGCCCACAGTCAGATAACCTTGTTGTGTCTCACTTTTCTTTGTTAGTTTCGCAAAACATTTGGCACGCTTAAAATGTTAGTGGTATGCTGACATAACATTAGTAGGCTAAAGAAAATTGCAAGGGGGAAAATTAACATTTAAATAGATTTTGATTATTAAAGAGAAGACAGAAAATCCAGCAGTGATTTGGTTTAGCTAGGAATACAAGAGTAATTGATGGTTGTCAGTATCCGAAAAGGTTTTCCAGAGCTAGGAACTGTCAAGGTAGAGGAGGGAGGAGAAAGATCTTCAGACCTCCAACACTTGACAGTTGTAAGAAAGACTGGGAGCGTGCGCAGCAGCAGTCCTGCTGGAGAACTTCCAGCATATAATATATATTCAAGTCCTGTCCAGGTTACACACTTTAACTTAGCCTAACTCCAACGCTGTGAGTTAAACACTCACATCCTTTTCTTAAGATGGCGGGAGAGGCTGAGTTTTCTCCACTGATATGGGTGATTTGCATACTGTGGGGGATGAATCCAGCGTACTTCTTGCCCAACACCCTCCCTAGAAACTGTATAAATGAAAACCCAAGACACCACTGCCTGGACAGTGAAAAACGAGTATAGATTTAAGATAGTTTTGCCAACCACAGCAAGAAGGCTGTATATTCATGGAAATGACTGTGGAAATAAAATTTGGCAATATTTCCATATTACTCCCAGTGAAAACCAGTTTCCTTTAAAGTCAATGAATTGAGGGCCGGCCCTGTGGCTTGGTGGTTAAGTGCGCGTGCTGCAATGCTGGTGGCCCGGGTTCGGATCCCGGGTGCACATCGAGGCACCACTTCTCTGTCCATCCTGAGGCCGAGTCCCACATACAGCAACTAGAAGGATGTGCAGCTATGACATACAACTATCTACTAGGGCTTTGGGGGGAAAAAATAAAATAAATAAAATCTTTAAAGTCAATGAATTGAGTGTTTGAATTGGATGCTTACTTTTAGCACTGTCCTGTGTTTTAAGCAATAAATAACTTTATTTGCATATTTGAGAAAACCTACAATAATTGAGCATGTATTGTGTACCAGGCATCGTACTATAGAATTACTTATAGTCTAGTATCATACAAAAAACACTATTCTCACTAAAATAAGTAGGAGTATTCCTTTGCCTTATACTAAAGGCCATTTATAATTTGGCTTCTCAGCTACATTTTGTTTATTGTCCCTCAGCAATCTTCCTCACTTTTTTCTTTTGCTCATGCCTTTTCAAAACCTACTCATTCTTCAAAGTCTGATTCCATTTCTGCCTCTTCCTTGAGGCTTTCCTTGACCCCTTCAACACAGAATGTCTCCTTCCTCCTTTGAGCAGGAAGCCCTTTTTATCTGCAGTTTTGGGCACTTATTATATACTGTCCAGTGCCGTCTTGAACGGTGCAGGTGTGTATTGCTATCTGGCTTTTCATGTGAGTACATCCTGTTCCCCAAGTAGATTTTGTGTTCTTTTGGTAGAACAAGCACTATAATTTTGTGTTATGCAACTCATAGAGGAAATTCAACTAAACTTCTGGCTGTTCTCTTGCATCTAAGAAGAGGACTCAAATACATGTAGAAAAGGATTAAGACCTGGGTGTATGCCTAAGAAGGAGAATGCTTAGCTTTGTTGATATTCCCCAGGTGCCTGGAAAAAAGAGGGTGTATTCTCACATTTATTTCATATTCAGGACCCAAAGCATGCTTTCCTAACGTAGGCAGTGTCACCCCTGACCCCGAATGAAAACTTTTTTCACTTTTTCTCTCTCTTTATATCTTCTACTTACAGGCCAACTATTGGCTTTCTCACTGAGCTACAAACATATCTGATGAATAAATTATATTTTGGTTTCCTGGGGGCAACAATTAGATGTCTTTTCTGCACAGGTATAAAGTGGCCTCCTTGGAAGGTGTGTTGTGTGTGAGATGTCTTTCCCGTGACCAGCCTTTCCCAGGACCTAAACTGAGGTCAGCATAGTTTTGAAGACATACTCTTAGAGTAATGTTTTGTATAGTGGTACTCTTTTGGATTAAAATAACAGTAACCCAACCAGAAAGGGGAATTTAGCATGAAGATATGAATCTGTTTCACGGAACCTAAAGATGAGAAAACAGTTGGCCCCCAGGTACCATGTGGAACCTAGAGATCAAATGTGTCTCTTACTCTGACTTAATTCTACAGGTCTGCTTTATTCTTCTCTCTTGTTGCAGACCAGCTTCTGCTTTTTCTACCCATGTGATGAAACGTGGGGGCCAACAGCTTCTGAGCTCTGTACACTAGAGTCCAGTGTACAGAGAAAGACTGCCTTCACCCATGCCCCAATACCTGAAGAAGGACTTTAATAGCTATCTTGGGCCAAGGGTCCATCCCTGGACCAATAAATTGTGGTCAGACACAGAGTGATATTTTTCTCTATTGTATTTCTGGGGTAATCATTGGGAGGGTGGTAGGAAGGAGCCACTGCCTAGAGGAGATATGCTGGACAGATAAAAGAGTAGAGGTTTGCTACACTGTATATGTGTATAGCAGTGAAGAGTTTACAGGCCTTTTCTAATGTTATCTCATGTGAGCCTTAATACAGTCAGGTGACATAGGCAAGACAGGTACTATTGGTACACAACTTACACGGAGGGCCTTAACATGTTCTGACTTGCGCAAGATTCACAGATAAGTAGTAAATTCTGTTTCCACTGTCCAACAAAACCTACCTTTGAAAATGTTCCTGAAATCCTACCACCTTTTAGACATTGATGAATAGGAGAGCAGCACTATTTTAGTTTGGCTTCTCTAGAGAAAAGAGCAGTTCCAGAGAAGTGTAATTTCAGGGAAGCAGGAATGAGGGAAGAGGAAAGTGAGACAAAGAAAGAGAGAGAGGAAATACAGAGGAGTGAGTCGCTGAGCTGATCACGACTTTGAAATAAGCTGATTGCTTTGTATCATAGGATGTCTTCAGAGAGGCTGTTTGAAGCTACTATGTGTGTCCCAGGGGCAGGGGAGGGAATGGAATAAAAATTTATCCACTGGCTTCCATTGCCCATGGTCAAAGTTCAAGCTCTAGGGTATTAATTCACCGACACTTCCTATTGTACACACTTGGGGATGCAGCAGGACCTGCTGGATAGCAGAGAAGTCCTGGGGGAGGAGGCAAGATACTACCAGGTCATACACGTGAGTGACTCAAGGGACCAGGGTCAGCCATGGAGGGGGTCTGCCTGTTCCAGAAGGCCAGGCTCCACTATAACGTAACCTTCCACCAAAAGGTGGAAGGAGACCTTAACAAACCTCTTCTCTATGGCCTACAAGAATGCAGTTGGTGTCACGGCATCTTCCTGGAGGCTCATCAGTAACACTGAGCAGCTGGCTGCATTGTCTCAAGTGGGGATTGTGACACCGACTCTCTGATGAAGACTCACTTCAAGGACACCTCCCCTACTACACCCCAGAATCGATCAATCCTTTCTTTATGGCCAAGCAATTCTTCACATGAGTATATAAACATTTAACACAATTATTTATTCAGAATTTTTCTTTTCCTAGAGAAGATTTTTGTGAGGTTGGAGTAATGCTGACTCACTAAATCAATAATTTATTGAGTACCTACTATGTGCTGGGCACTATTTTAAGTGCTAGGATTAGAACAGTGATAGACACAAATCTTTAATTTTTGAAGCTTACATTTTCAGTGTGTGCGTGGGGAGACCAATAAAGAAATAAGTAAAGAATACATTGTATTAGATGGTGATAAATGCTTTGGAGGAAAACAAAGCAGGAAAATTAGATAAACAGAGCAGTGGTGGGGAGTGAGGGTTATAGATTAACCAGGATGTCCAGAGAAGGCTTCACTGAATCAGTGACATTATAGAAAGAACAGACACGGATACTTGGGGTTGGGGGGAAGTTCCAGAGATAGAGAAAAGGAAGTGCAAAGGTCCTAAGGTACGCTGGTTGTTTTCCAGGAAGGGCAGGGAGGCCAGTGTGACCAAAGAAGAGAAAGGGAGAGGGAGACGAGAGAGGAGAGAGTAGAAGAAGTTAGAGAGTTAATATGGAGCCAAATATCCTAGGACACTGAAATGACTTTGGCTTCCACTTGGGGAGGGACAGGGAAGCAGCAGGGCTTTAAATACAGAAGTGATCCTACTTACATTTCAACAGGATCACTCTGGCCCGAGAATAGACTATAGAGGGACAAGAGTTGAAACTGGGAGTTAGGAGGCTGCTGGGGTAACTCAGGTGAGAAATGTTGGTTGTTTGGACCAACATGGTAGAGGTGGTGCGAGACGGTGTGATTCTGGTTTAAAGACAGACCTGACAGGATTTGTGATGGGTTAGAAAGGAGATATGAGAGAGAGAAGGAATAAAAAATCACTCCAGGTTTTTTGCCTGCACAAGAAGACAGGAAGAAAAAGTTTTAGGGAGAAGATTGGTATTTTGGACAGGAAATTGCTCTTAGACAAGTGGAGTTTGTTGAATTGACAGTGGATCTAGGAGTCTGAAGTTTAAGGAAAAGTTCATGTCTAGAGATATAAATTTGGGAGCTATCAGTGTGATGTTGAAAGCCATACCGATGGCATTGAAAGCCATGAGACTGGATAAGATCACCAAGTGAATGAACGCAGACAGAAAAGTGAAGACAAAAGACGGACTCCTAGGCCACTGCAACTTTAAGGAGTTAGGAAGACGAGGAGTCACCAGCAAGGAGACTTAGCAAAAGTGGCCACGAGGTAGCAGGAAAACCAGAAGAAAGTGGTTTCTGGAAGTCAAGACAAGAAAGTGTTTCAACAGGCAGGGACTGAACAACTTGGTCAAATTCTGCTTGTAGAGGTGTGGAGAACTGATCTTTGGCTTTAGTAGCATGGAGATCATTGGCAATTTGAGCAGTTCAGTGCACCAGAGAGGGGCAAATGCCCAAATAGAAGTTCAAAAGAGAATGGAGGGGAGAGAAATTGGAAGCAACAAATATAGGCAATTCCTTAGAGATGTGCTTTAAAGGGAAGGAGTGAAAAGAGAGTGGTAGCTGGAAGGGGAGGGAGAGTAAAGAAGTGTGTTAAGGGCCTGTCTCTATGCCTCTTGGAAAGGTCCAGTGGGACTTACTGGCAGAACCAGCAGAAAACGAATGGTTGTGAGGAAAATGAACAAAATATCCCCTGGAACCAGGTCTGCATGGGGCACTGAACTGATCCACCTTTGATTCCCCTATCAATGAGGAAACGTATTGTGGGAGTGAAGGTGCCTGGGTTAGGCCTTACAGGCCAAATGCCCTAAAGATTTCAGATTCAAAAGGCAGAAATAATGAGCCTGTCAAGTAGCAGAGTGGAGGTTCCCTACTGATCTGCAAAGCCAAAACGTGGTCTAGCTGGTGGTATTTTCTGAGAAGTTCGTTTAGAGGGGCGGTTTTACAGAATGCTGCAGTTGCTACCATCACCAACTTCATCATCATCATTATCAAACAGCAATTAGATGCTTAATTTCTCCTACCACCCATAAAATCAAAATAGAGGGCCTTGTTCCCTGGCAGAGCTGGCTGTGGTGGCAGCAGTAGCATAACGAGGCTGGAAGGTCAGAGATGGGGAAAGACCCGCATGGGGCAGAAGGAGATGGCCCTTGCCACCATCCTGCCCCAGTTCCTGATTTTCACCCGGCCTCTCCAAGTGCTGGCGCAGATGACTCTTGCCCTCCTACTTCTTCCTCCTCTGCTCTCTGCGCCCCCTACTTCTCCTTTTGCTGTTCTCTTTCAGTGGAGGGGTGGTTCTGAAGACCGGCCCCGACCCCTACCTCCCTCTCCACCGCGTGTGGGCACACTGGAAGCGAACTGAGAGCCCTGAAACTCCAGTGGGGCAGGAGCCGGCGTTCTGAGCATGTGCGAGCAAGCCTTGTGGCTAGGGCGGATTTGGGAGGCCGACGCCAGGTCGCTGCCCTGAGCCCAGAGGGAGAGCACGGAGAGCGCTGGGCCGGGCAGCGCGCCCCGGAGCCGTGCCCCTGCGCCCAGAGCGCAGCGGCTGCGCCCTGCCCTCTGGGCGTGGGCGAGCTGGCCGCGTGTGCCTTGCTGCTTGACGCGAGCACGAGCCAATCAGGGAGAGCGGCCCGGGCTGCCATGTGACGGGCTAGGCGGCCCCTTTCCCCAACGCGGCCAGAGGGAGGAGAGAAGCGGGGCTCGCCGCGAGCCTTCGAGAGCAGCGGCCGCGGAGGAGGCGCCGGCGCCGGCACACGCTCGGGCCAGCCGCGCGCGCATCCCCGGGCGCCCTGCGCGGCGGAGAGCTCGGCTGGCCGCGGGAGCCCAGGACAGGAGTGGACAAAGCAAGATGGCAGGGATCTTAGCCTGGTTCTGGAACGAGAGGTTTTGGCTCCCCCACAATGTCACCTGGGCGGACCTGAAGAACACGGAGGAAGCCACCTTCCCGCAGGCTGAGGACCTCTATGTCGCCTTTCCCCTGGCCTTCTGCATCTTCATGGTGCGGCTCATCTTCGAGAGGTAAGAAGGGCTGGAGCGCTCCTCCCCTCCCCCTACACACACACACTCACACACTCGCGCGCACACGCACACTCGCGTGCTCTGTGGCGCACGCACCCGCCCCCCCAGCGCTCGCGCTCACGCCTCCCAACCTTTGTGTTCGGGCAGGGGTTGCTGACCCCTTAGCCGGGCTGCCGTTCTGGTAGCCAGAGAGAGTCTGGCTTGCCTGTGGATTTCCTCCGGGGCGCCCGGGAGGGGCCGCGGGGCGTTGGGGTCGCCCCCTGCACTCCTCCTTGGCCCGCTGCCTCCTCCTCGCGGCGGGGGCAGGCGAACAAAGGTGAGCGAAGGCCGGCCGCCGGACGAGCGGCACTCCGCGGGGCTCTCGGCTCTCCAGCCCGCGGGCACGCCGCGCTGCCAGGCAGGGCTTCCCCGCCGAGGCTCGCCGCCTCCTACCTGACAGCCAGGAACGTTCCGGACGCGCGGGCCGGAGGGCGGAGGAACCGCGCACACTGCCAATCCTTTCACTCCGGCACACGGATTGTCGGAACGGTGCTTCAGGAGAGTTCGCCAGGGACTCCTTGGCACCTGGCCGCTATTTGGTGTCCATCAGGAACACTGAGTATCCCAGGCTCACAGTCCTGGGAAATAGGTGACAATAGTTTGTAGGTTTCCAGCATTCCAGGCCGTTAGCGGTTTCTTTAAAAGAGTATATGACAGGACGGGTGCACAGCCTGCAAAATGGTGATATTAAATTGATAGATGTTTCCTATGAATAACCATAAACTTATTTTGGTACCAGAACGCATTAAATTTTTTTTTAAAGAATTGTATTATTATTTGTATAATTCCCCGATTTAGTTGGGTAGCTCCGTTGTGTCACGAACAAACTTGTGTACTCTCATTGAATCAGTCTTAGTCACGAAACTAGATCTTGCCTGCCATGCATTCTCCGGGTGCTATTGAAACAAGACCGGGAGAGCAGCACACACTTCTGTCTTTTTCTCAACCGAAAACCTCGCCTCTCCTCGCCCCATTCATCAGTACAGGCTGAATTTCTTAGATCACAGGGTAGAGTTTAGATGCCATTTCTCACTTCCTCTCCACCTCTCTTCCCCTGCCCCCATTTCACCTTGATTTTGTTTCTTAAGCTTTTGCTCTCTTATTTTGTTTGCTGTTTCTGTTTGTCTAAAACCACTATTGAAGATGACAGAATTTGTCTTTTGTGTCATTTGTTGCTGGAAATGGCAACAGACAAAGCTCCATGGGAACAGAAAGTATCTTTTGTTTAAGGAAGGTGTATTTTTCAATGGGCGATATTGTTGCTGGAGAACTAAGACAGCAGTTCATATGCAGAGATTGACATGCACAAAGGATCAGATTTAAAGACCTATTTTAAAATGAATGGAATCCAGCACAGATAAGTCATTGATCCTATCCAGCCTTGAAACTTGCTGTGAAAAAGTGGATGTTTTTGAAGGTTTAGAGTTGCTTCTTAAGCAAATGTTTACTTACAGAAAATAGGAACTCATATCTAACTTGCATTCTTTCCAAAGAAAGTCTCTCAGGAAGTAGCAGGTTGACTGTGTTGGCACATAGTAAAGACTACATACACTACATCAGTTGCCTAATTACATCTGATCAGTTCTGGCTGATCAATTCTGCATGTGCTCACCTTTAGCTAGCTAATGCATTTGAAAGAGATGTGCAGTCTTATGTATTAGAAAACAAAAGCATGTCAGCTAATGACCTGTATGTGGAAACCTGCATTTTCCTGACATTCTTCTTCTCTACACTAATTCCAGGCTGCTCATTAGGTTAGAAAAAAATAAATTTATTAGAGAATGGAGGTAGTTTCATACTTAGACTCTCTGTGCCTTTAAAAACAAAACAGAAACAGAAAACTAATGTAATAGTTGAAAACTGGAAGTTCATTTTTCCTCTTCCTGAACATATTTTCTTCCTTTGCATAATCCCGTGACTTGACTTAGAGTTTACACAAAGCTGCTTTCAACCATCAATCACAGCAAATGTCCTCGTATTGATATGTAGAGAGTTGGTCAGTTTTTTTCAGGCTATCGATGCAAATAGAAGTGATTTAATGGCCTGTATGGAGAGTGAAAGTTTATGATTAATATTCAGGATAATAATCCAGTATGGCATACACCACAGGATGCTACTGACTTTTGGAAAGGTGTCTACTTTGTTTCTTCCTATACTAGTGACAGCTCTGTCTTGAACCATTCAGACTCTCTTCATTCTCTGAAAATCCAAGTGTATAGTTGTATCCAGAATGACAAGTTCTGCATGTTTCTCCTCTTCTGAAACCTAAATGACACATTCTGGCGGCCAACCTGTGGTCTTCATCTCAGTAGCATTCATCAAGGGCCTAAATCAATATAATTGAGCCAGCCAGTATGGTTATCACTGGTACGAATCACTTTCAGTACCCTTCTAACATGTGCATAAATCTTTTTCTTTTCATTATTCTATAATGTATAACATGATTTAAAGAAGCCTGTTGTGAATCCCTTTGTAAAATGAAATGCTTTTGTAATAGGAATGACTTCCTCAGTATTATATTCCTTTTATGCTTGTATTGTCATTTATTTCAAAGCTGAGAACATTTCTATGAAATACTCATTATCCAAGATCTTTATTTCCCTTAAATGGAATCTGTAACGCCCATGTTGAGGCTAAAATTGTGAATTTGAATGCCTTCTCCTCAGTCTTACGTATTTCTCTCTATAAAGAGAAGCACTAAAGAGTTGACTGAATTGGGCTTTGCCTGATTGAACAGTCCCATCTTTTTGCTTTCACCCCCACTGTTGAGGTGTCGACAGTGGAGGAGTTGGTGGCCAGCACAATGCCACGTTATAGTACCATATGGACAACAATATGGCCACCCAGCGTGGTTGCTTAAAAATGGAGCAGCCTAAATTCAGTGACTTTTGGCTGAGTCGGTGAATAGCTCAAAGCTTGGTTGTTCTTGGCATAGTCATTATACTACGCTTTGTTCTGGGTGGGGACCTAAAGGGCCACTGTAGATATTGTTTGATTGACAGAGTAAAATATCTGTTGTTAAAAAAAAAAAGCTCCTAGAATGAAAATTGTAGTGTATACCATTATATTATGTTGTTGACTTGATGACAAGGAACAAAATATTACTTAATAATTTAGCATTATCATCTGTTTGATGGATTTTCTTGATTTAATGCTTGTTTAGGCTCAGTAAGCCATTCTCTGGAATTATAATACATGCTTCTTCCAAATTCATCTTTTCAAAAATGTGTGTTGCTATGGTATTCATAAATGTGGAATTAAAGTTCTGCTGAATTTCCGTTTGGGAATAAAAATTCTTTGAGTTATTGTTATAAAAGGTAATGTTAATGCATTTTCCTCCTTGTGGGTCTAGGCGAGAGATACAGAAAGTATTGATTGAGAATCAGAATGTTCAAATTCTAGTCAAACTTACCACAAACTGGGGCAGCTACCTAATTTATCTCTGCCTTATTTTCTCATCTATGCAGTGAAGCAAATGGCCTTTGTAATCTAAGGTTGCTTTCAGCCTCCCAATGATCTGATGCTTGTAGGTCCTCTATATGTTTGAAAGTTACTGCTTATTATCTCATGAAATGTTAAAGCAGGCTAAACGTCATTTTTTTGGAGGTAGAAATAAGTGGTCTGAGAATAAAGGGATTTTTTTCACACAAATATTCTAGCCAATAGTTTTGTTTTTTGTATTTTTCAATTATGATTTCAGTTAAAAGAATCATTTGAGCTATTATCATTTGTGCTCCAAAAAGCTACAGTATTTCAGAATAACCAATAAAGAAGATTCTACAGAGAAAGCCATTGCTCTCTTTCCTCAGACCTTTTTTAGATGGATCCCAGAGCAGACCCAGCACCTCTTGTGATGGCTAGATAAGAAATGAGAAGCTCATGCCTGTCAGGTTGGCTCTCAAAGTGCCAAGCTATGAACTGAGAACTGTCATTCCTCAGGAGGCTGACACCAGTCTTGCCTGGTTCATTCAGCCGAATAATGACCTGCTGCCCCCAAGTTTTCAAGGCACAGCAGTGTCTCAGCTGTGTCAGAGGGAATGTCTGGCCAATGGGCTTTTTCCTGTGGGTTTACTTAATATTTTTGCCTTGCCAGCATCCTTGGGTGAGGCCTTTTAGGAGAGGGCAGAGAGAGAGAGAAAAAATGAATGAGAATGTATTCCTGACGGTTAGAGGGGAGAGGAGAGGTGTCAGTGAATGACTGTCAGGAAAAAGTGGAGTGTCAGGTGAGTTTCATTACTGAAGGATGTTCCTATAAGGTGCCTTGTAATGAAGAGACTGATATCATTGGATATATTTTAAAAGAGTGTGCAATGGACTGAATGTTTATGTCCCCCCAAAATTCAAAAGTTGCAATCCTAACGGCCAAGATGATGGGATTAGAAAGTGGGGACTTGGGGAAGTGATTAGATCATGAGGCTGGAGCCTGTGTGAATGGGATCAGTGCCCTTCTAAAAAAAGGTCCCAGAGAGCTCCTTCACCCCTTCCACCATGTGAGGACACAGTAAAAAGATGGCCGTCTGTGCCAAGAAGATTGTCCTCACCAGACACAAAATCTGCTGGCGCCTTGATCTTGGACTTTCGAGTCTCCAGAACTGTGAGAAATAAATTTCTGTTCTTTATAAGTCACCCAGCCTAATGGTATTTATTATAGCAACTTGGCGAACCAAGACATAGTATGTGAGAACAACTTGCATACAAACACGGTTTTTCTCATGCCATCAGTCCTGGATATTTAACTCTATAAGTGTACTTGTTTCACTTGTTAAGTAATGGTGTGATTCAGATTAAAACTATGGATACCTGCTTTGCCAGACTGGTTTAAGAGGCAGGGGTTGGGGTCAAACACAAATAGGTTGCCTCCTACAGTTTCTGACTGGGATAGGAAAATTGGATTACAATGGATGTTTTGTTGGAAAACAACCTAAAATCAAAGTGATGATGTCTTTTGCAGAACTTGAGAA